CCCCAAAACCCCAAAACCCCAAAACCCCGTCAATACATTGGTAGAAAAATCAAGAAATTATAAATGATTAAAATATATTCATTTGAAATTCAATATATTTATTCAACTTAGTGGCATAAATTAAATATAGATGCCTATATAAATCATAAGCGGATAAACTTTAGCTTGATAGAACTAATGTTTATTCAAATAATTTGGTTGGTAAAGAATCATTCTTTAAGTACATGAAAGATAATTCAGGTTCAATCATTATGACTTGCTTCATCATTTGAGTCTGAGTAAATACTCTCAACCTCCAAAATATCTTATTTATCTTATTACCCAGAAGATTAAACTTTTGCTCTATCATAACTTTAAATAATATCTTGAGATAATTGCTAATGAGAAGTTTAATTTTATTTCTAGCTTTGCTCACTTTATATCTTATCTTATAAAAGACTCTATTCTTCGTTTAATAAGTCAAAAGCACTGTTTGTGTTATTTTTCAATTAATTTTAATCATCCTCTTGCTAATTTTGATTTAGACTTTCTTTTGCTTTAATGAAACTTTCATATGATTTTGACGAATCAGTTTAGTTGATGTTTTATTTCTCCTATATATCCTATACCAATTCTAATTATTTCCAAGAATTTATGTTTTCAAGTTTTTTAGTCTCTTCTTAGCTATGATTTGAAAGATCGTTCTAAATATTATCTTCATTCTCACTATATTCAATTAACATTATTTCAATTTCATTGTTTTTATTTTTGGCCTATTTGTTTCTCTAAATCTTTATTCTTTCTCCTATTATTTCATTAATTAAAGGAGAATTATTCATTTTTGACTTTTGTTTAATTTGTTTAACGCCTTCTGCATTTTTATTCATTGAGTTTAAGTTTGAGCTCACTTACTATACACTTATTTTGCTTACTTTATTTAATGCTTTCTTTTTGTTATATCTTTGCTTTATTATAGGATCAATCTTTTATATCAAGATATTTTCTTGTCTTTATTCTTTAACGAGAAGTTCTAATTAAGACATCTTTGATAGCTAATTAGAAGAAACTTAGGTTATATAGTTTTAATTCGATACAGTCAAAATATCACGAGAATTTTTTAATGAAAAATTTGTAAGGAAATTCTGACTATTTTTCTTTTCCAATTTAGCAAATTAATCTGAGTTACCAATAAGTATATCAGATTATTTTTCCTCTTTCTGGTTTATAAAGTCAATACCTTCCATGGTTTATATAGTTTGCTAAGTCATAAGAGGCTAAGAATCATCGTGAATAAGTTTCATTTTGGATAACTTCTTTTATGATTCTTCTTCTTAAAATTCTTAGAATACCTTTTAACTCTATTTTTTACGATACTATATGCTTTTTGAATTATCTTTCTCATTTTTGTATCCAAAAGCCTTCAACATATTCGCTTCATCAAGGAATACTGCTAATTTCTGAACAATTTTTTCATTAAGTTATATGTTTCGTTTCACGAAGTAGTTTTCGTATTTATTAATACATTTTTCAAGTTCTTCTGAGTATTTTTGCATTTATAAATCATATATCGATTTTACAAGTTCCGACTTCAATTTTTCTTTATCATTACAGAGGCACAAAATTAGATAGATCTTCTAGTATTAAGATCTAAATCTTGACTTGAGTTCTTAATACATTTTGTAAATCCAAAAGATAAAGAATACCACATTAGAAATGAGAATTAGGTAGAAAAATAGCTTTTTAAATGCCTCAGGAAGTTGAATCACTCCTCTTGAGTAATCTTAATTACTTTCTATCCAACTAGTGCTTTTATCTAACAAAAAGAATATTCCAGAGTACACTGAAATCATAGAAGTAACCAAAGAAATAGTCTCAAGATCATTTAATGCTTAAGTATTAAATGGCTTGAATTAATGGTTTATTACAAGAAACAGGATAAGTACGATAAGCATAATAAGGGCTTATGCGATTAAACCAAAACTTGTTCCAACAAATACAGTAATAAAGATTATTAGAATTTTCCTAGATGTTATTACTATCTCCCAATAATAAAATTAAACTTTGTAGCCTCGGTATAAGAAACCATACATCTCTCTAATTGAAACTCGGTTCAGATTATTTCTAATTTTAATCAAAATAATCAAAGCAAGAATAGGTAAGCCTATTCCCCAAACTAAAATGCTTGGTAATGCAACAAAATAACTGTAAAATTAATGGCTCTTATCCCAGCATAATATTTCTAAATCATCATAGACTCTCTGCTATCCATCAATATCTCTGCATTTAAAATTGAAAATCGAATACTAACTTATGATAGGATGAACTAAAAATAGTAAAATGACTAAACTAGATATAAATTTCCTGTCAACTGAACAAATTCTTTTCTTAATGAAATTGTTAATCAGCCAGAATTAAAAACAGATATAACCCAGCAAGAATGGGAGTAATGCTATAATCAAAAGCTTAGTATAAAAAATTCTACTTAGTATCTTGCTACCATCATTAATCTATAGTAAACAATCAATACTCAATAGTTAATTTTGAGCAGTCGCAATTTCATCAGTATAACTAAAAAATTTAAGTATCAATTCAGACCATTGAAATTGAAGAGTAGATGTCATAAAAATTAGTTATAAATGATTTAGTAGAATTCTCAAATATATGCTTGTTACAAGATATGGATTTTAGGCAGTATTTAACGATGATCTTATTATTAAAACCAAGAACAGGACTAATGCGACTAAAATTGCCAATAATCTTATAATGTTCAAAAAATGATCAGGGCACTTAGAACATTTATAATTGCTATCTCGTGAATAATCTTTCTCACAATCTGCACATAAAATACCTCTATATCCAACTGAGCAATCGCCCATTGGATTATTTTTTGGAGCGACCATACCAAGGCATGCAGGTTAATAAAGACATTTTTCAAATCTTTAAGAAGCATTACTTTTTCTCCAATAACCAGGTAATGGACCAATATTAGCACCTCCGTTGCAAACCGCTTTTTCAGTTGGGCAAGTTTCACAACTTCCGGGCTCTTTCATGCTGGCAAGAGAAAAGCTATTTTCGCATATCTCGCACTTGCCTGCTTATGTAAATTACTCACCAATCAAGCATTCTCTAAACTTTAGATCAAGAT